CTTTGGGATGTGCTGAGAAGCCTTTGTGTAGCGGTCAGACTCTACCATCATCAATGCAAGATCTTTATTTCAAGCTGTTGTTAAAGGTTGTGTAACTGTGTTTGCTGTATGACCGGTTTCACCTGTTCCCCCATGTTTGTCTTGTATGTCTTCTTGAATGGGTGTTTCTTAACTGCCCCCGTCCCCCTTCCCTGAATGTACAGCACCTTGTGAATTTATTTCTGTGAAAGGCGCTGTATAAATAAAACTTTACTTACTGTACTTACTAAACTTTGCTTAATGCCTTTTCTGCAATCCTCAAAACTCTGGTTGTACACTTCCTTTGTATGACGTCAAATGAATTGTTTTCAATGTTAATTTGAAACCTGCACACACAAAACATTACAATGACTTTGCAATACAGATCTCTTTATGTCAGTATAACTTACTTACATTTATAAATGAAGTTATACTAACTGAGAGACCTGAATCAGTGTATGAAAAGCTTATTTACTCTGATCAGATACATAATTATGTTATTAGATACTATTGTGAAACAAAATTAATTGTAAATCGTGCTAAGACAAACTTGTTTAAAAAATCAGTCTATAGAGCTATTCAGGAATGGAATAAAGTACCTAACATTAGATATTTATAAAAGCACATTTTAATTTAAAAGAGCACTGAAATCTTATTTGTATTAAATCTTATTTTGTCATTATTGTTATTATATTATTATTATTTGCTTTGTTTTGTTTTTAACTAGGCTTATGTTAGTAATTTAGTAAAATGTGGAATTTGACTAATGTTAGTTTTATGTCACGATTTTATGTGTTGTATGAATATTGTGTGTTATATCAGTTGGACCCCGGGAAGATTAGTAAAGGAAACTAATGGGGATCCTAATCAGCGAATTAAATCAAATCTTGTAAACATTCTCCACACACACTGGTCTACAAATAAAGTCGATTATTGCCGTTTGTTCTTAGAGACAACTGGTTAGCTGTCAGGAAGCTGCTCAGTTGTTGGAGTAATCTGACCTCCGTGGTGATTTTACACCAGCTGTTTCCAGGACAGCTGCTCACGCAGAGCGGGAAGTTTCCATCCCAGCTGGATTTAAAGTGAGCTCATTTGTTGTTGTGATGAACCGTGTTCAGGCTCTTACTCTGTTACAATGTTAGCTGATAAATCAAGTCTTGACCAGACATAAAAGCAATCTCAGCAAACACAAAAAGATGGGTACAAATTTGTCAGTTTTACAGATATTGAGCTAAATTTTGATGTGGTCCTATTTTTTTAAACATACCATCTTATTTGAGCTGCACAAACTCAGACCTTCTAAATGCATCTTGCAGTGTTTTATCTAAAAGCTGACATATTTAAACAAAATAACAGCTTTACTGAACTGAACCTGTTTGGGTTGAGTATCTAAAAGTGGAAACATGACCTAAACTTTACACTCCTGTCTACTTTCTCCACATGACAAACACACAAGCAACACCTGAGCTTTTTATAGCTCCTTTATGTGCATTAGACACGAGTGTTGGTTAGAGGAGAGGGAGGCGACGTTCAGTTAGAAAAGGAAAGTTTCGTGCCTGTGGTTGTCCAGAGTGCCCAGCAGTGTCACAGCATGGAAACCTCCTTCTCATCCCCTATTCCCATCACACAGCTGTTTCAGCAGGCATCGTCTTGCTCTTGTTTTTATGTGCCTCCTATTTTAGAGAATGACATTCACAGAGAACCTGCAACCGAGTACAGCAGATACAATATAAATAGTGCAACATTTATTTTAAGGGAAAAAATTACTGCAAATTGTCTTTGTAAGTGCAGCAGAAACACAACTTCCATTTGTATATTTGTTTAACCTCTTAAGCTCCAAGGGGGTTTTCTTGATGTTTTTGCTCGAAATACCAAGCTGGAATATAACTGAGTGTATCTCAGCATTTACAAACTCTACTTAAATAATCTTGGTGTGAAAATAAAGCTAACAAGTGGGAGATTTTATTAGAAGTGTAAGTATTAAAACAGCTGCTGTTGTTTTAGAGATATTGAGGATGGAACATAATTTTTTTTAGATTTTTTTCCCTCCCGTCTGAATAATTGTTTCATTAGACAGTATATAACCTATTTAAAACCATAATGATTCAGGTTAAAAACTCCTGGAAACCATAAATCCACTTGTGGACATCACCTGTGCAAAGATTCATGYTGCTAAAATGAACTGGAGCAAAGTTACAGAGGTTTTAATAAAGAAATAATTTAGTGTTTTGTCATTCTGCACAGGACAGACCATGATGGTTCCATTAATAAATGTTAAGAAATGTTAAGTTTTTAGTTGCAAAAGTTTATTTTTTCTCACCAGCCTGAAAAAACTTGTTATTGAATGTTTGTTCTTTAGAAAAATTATCCAAACATTTATTTGTCACCGTATATATTATATAAAATAATGAGAAATTATATTTGACTTCATTTGGACCATATTCACTCAAAATAAAGTAAAAACAAAACTTTCAACACAATATATAACCTATTTTGGTATCTGCTTTGACTTACTTTAAAAACAAATGTCATTTTTTTTCCCTTTACAGATTTGGTATAATATATTTACAGATTTGCAACAATCCCATTTTGTTCAATTTGTTTACTTTCTGATTCAACTGACTGTCGTTTCAACTGTTTTTGGTGGATGTAAAYATAGTTTCCATGAGTTCAACTTACAGATCTTAAGTTAACAGAAGTTAAAAGATATAGAAAACATGAAATTCTGTTTTTCATGGGGCTCAAAAGGTTAAATAAGACTTCTGTTCTGTGTTCCTTTATATCCTTTCAGATTTGCCTGRATTATAAAGAATTTATGCCAAAATTCTGTAGATAAAGCAGAAAAAGTCTGTAAAAGTGACACAGATTTTAATATCTTGGAACTAATCAGCCACTAATATTCAACTTGTTGTTGAACTTGTAGTTTACCAGTGATTTAAGAAGGTATGAAAATGAGAAACTGATCTTAAATAAACTCTTTTCTCAGGTCTTTTCTGACAGGATTCTTCTGTTTTTTTTTCTGCTTGTAGCTGGGAGATCATTGATTCAGGTCCTGACAGCCGGTCAGGAACTGGACTTCAGCTYGGTGATTCCCTCAAACTCTTCCTGCAGGAGACGTCGGCTTTCAAACAGCAAAACCCAGGCAAGGTGAGGCCAGGACCCCCCAAACAGCTGCAGACCCTCAGGCTCGCGTGCTTCTGTGCTTTTTACATGAATGACACTGTGAGGTGCTGCTGAAAGGATGATCTGGACTGACAATCAAAGATGATAAAACGGCTCGTTTTTCAGCTGATTTGTTCTTGAAACAGAATGCTGGAGTGAAAATAAATCAGATACGTTCAGACTGTAACTTCTCTTGTTTCTGCTCTAGTTTTGCCTGTTGGTTTGCAGCTTGTGCACCTTTTTTGCCCTGTTAGGGCGCTACATTCCAGGGATCGTCATCTCATATATCTTAGGTGAGTGAGTTGCACGCGAAGATTTGATCATCGAATGTGAATTTTTCATGACACATTCTTTTTTTTATAATCTCTCTGAAGTTCTGGGCTTTTTCCTGTGGCCTCTGATTTCATCTCATGATGCTGGTTTGTGGCTGAAGCCAGCTCTGCAGAAGCTGGACTTTGGCGTCGGACAGTTTTTGCAGAAAATCAAGGAGAACCATGGTAATTATTAATCTCCATGTGATTTATAATATTACAAATGCTTTTAATCACGCTTTAAATTTAGCTTGCAAGCAGCCAAACTGTCTTGTTCATCAGTGTTGAGTCCACACATCACAGACAACATAAAGAGAAAAATGCTCATCAGAAAACTAAATCCTCTTTTCTTTCAGAGAAGAGACTCGTTGAGGCTCAGACTGAGAAAGAAGGTATAGAATCGGACCTTTCCTCCATGTTTCCCAAGGTTCGTTTTTCATTTTCTCCTCTCARTCTAATCATCTGACAGGAATCCAGTTTAAGCTAATGAAATTCACCAACCACATAAACATCATCATGTGCTGAACATCCAGCCGAAGAAAGAAATACTTTCTTTTTGTAAACACTGGGCACAGCTTATAGTTTTGACCTTTTTATCCCCTAACCTGGTGGAGCTTTTGAAAAGGGCTGATTTATGACAGGACTGGTGAAAAGTCAACATTTTTCATCTTTAATCTGAAACAAATAATAAAATTGAGTGGAAAACATTGAATCCAGACAGAGAAATCTACTCTTATTTCAGTTTGTTATAAATCTTTAATCAACTCAGTTGGTCTGTTAGAATCTCTCAATCCTAACCAGATTTTTATTTTAACTCAAAACAAATAAAGATGGTAATTTATTACTTAAGTTTACCATAACTTAAGTAATAAATAGGACTAAACAGGAGATACTGAGTTAAACTATTCTGTAAATATAAATGTTCTGATATAAACATTTTATAAATCTCACCATTGGCACTAATGGATGTGGGGAAATGGTCAAACACTGGCAGACAGGATGTTACCTTTGATGCTAATCCTTTACAAATATTCATAACTTATTTGTGAAATGTCAAAAGGCAGTTTGTTTATCTTTTCTGATTTTCTGGATCTGTGTGTTTCTGTCCACCAGCTGGACTCTACAGTTTGTAAAGAAATGTCTGTGTCGGACACCGAGGTGTCTGATGTGACCTGGACAGACAAYGGTACTTTCAACCTATCAGAGGGACACACACCTCAGACGGAGAACTCAGAGGGTACGATTCTGTCAAACTTCTTCTCCTCTTTATTTGCTTCATGTTTTGACCAAAAGCTGTTTCACTTTATAGACCTGGATAAAGAGGAAGCGTTCGCTGGTGACCTCCCAGAATTCCCTTCTCTGGATAACGGCACGTCAACCAATGGTGATGACGATGACCTCAGCCTTGACCTCGCCTTACCTCCGCTTCATCCCCAGCAGCCAATCAGATCAAAGCATTCATCTCGTTCAACACAYACAGGCCAACGTGCAGACGACACCTTGGAGCTGGTCCACCAGATGGCAGATGATGTCATCACCGCAGCCGTCACAGCCGCCATCCAGGAGAGGATAGAAGCAGTGGTCAGCTCCGTGGGTCTGAGCCAAGACACCGGACGGTCAAGACCCCCCGATTCCACCCGGCTGCTGGAGCTGGACCAGGATTCAGACAGCGAGGTGGAGGACTTTGAGCTGCTGGACCAGTCGGAGCTGGAGCAACTGGAAGGGGAGCTGGGGCTTCTAGAGGAGAAGACCAAGTGTAAAGAGGAGGAGCAGGGTACGAGCGACAAACCGCCTTCGTCTGGGTTCTTCTCCAAACTCCTCAGACGCCACTGATGGAGGAGAAGGTCTGCAGGGGGCAGGAACAGCTCACAGAGAACACATGCTGGGGAGAAGGGGAGCTTTCTTCACTGCAAAGAAAACAATGTTTCCATTTTTCTTTATGTTGCACAGCTGATGTGAACAGTTTTAGTTTGAATAAATGAGCAGATGGAGGTTCAGCCTCGTTAATCAGAATCAGCTCAGTTTAAAACTGACATCATCTGAGCCCAATAAAACCTAAATCACATGGGATCCAGCCTGTCACACACACTAACTCTGTCAGCAGAAAACCTGAAAAACTAAATATAAATGATGCTGATAGAAAATCACAAGTGGGAAAAACTTTGATTGAACTATATTTATCTGTAACTTTAAATACATAAATAAATCTTTATTCTCTGATGAGCAACCTCTCAAAATTGCATCAAATATTTGGAACAAAAAATGTTTTTTTTTAAAGTTCTTACATATTTTGATCTCATTTTCTTTATCATGCAAAAACTAATATCAAATATTTGACTAAATTTGGGCACACAGAAGCAAAATGTGCATCAGAAAAGAAAAAAACTGGTTTTAATTTTGTTAGTCAAAGTCAAAGTTTTGCATCTTTTCTAAAGAAAATAAATATTCTGTAATCTGATTTCTGCTTTTATTTATAAAAAACCCTCCTGCTCTTCATTTTTCAACCAGTTGCCATGTTAACATTTTACTTTTTGATCCAACATCCTGTTTGACGTTTGAAATTTGTTACATTTTTACGTGCTTCATGAATAAATCACAGCATGCTGTATTTGTAAACAAATGATGCATCTTCTGCTGTTGATCATTAAACAACAAAGTACAGCAACATGATGATCACCTGTTTATTATTAAATACTCAAGATATTTACTGAAGAAAGTTTATATATATATATATATATATATATATATATATATATATTCCATACATACAGGCCTCCGTCTCTTAATGTTGCATGTTGTGCAATTAAACAAATTTAAATTACATCATCAGAAATATTGATTTAAAAAAAATACCATTTTATATATTTTGACCACTAGAGGACGGAATAAACAGTAAATTTCAACCTTGCTCATTTTAAGGTTTATTCTGCTAAACTTTTCTAAAATCCTAATTATTATTTATTATTATTAAAAATTATCCAAAAATATAAATTTAAATTCATCAACTGTGAAGAAATAAAGGCTCACTGTGGAACATAGCTTCTTTTAGACAGTTTACCTGCAAAAGAAAATTGATTTTGGGGTAAGTTCCTCTTTAAATGTATAAAATGATTGTTTTGTTCAGTGTTCACTTTCCTCTGCAGTTACACACTTTGGTCATAAGGTGGCAGTGTTGTCCTCTTATGACCACATTAATGTTGTTGTTGTTGTTGTTGTTTTTCTTTCTTTCTTTCTGTTTGTTCCTCAGCTTGGCTGAGACTCTTGGGGGTAAACAGATTGAAACATTTTATGACATTTCCTCCTCCCTCTCCATCTCTACAGCTTCCACTGAACAAAAAAAGATCATCAATCTGCAGTTTTTTTCACCAACTCATTATCATTATTATGTAAAATTGTGTCCAAACCAGTCAGGAGGCAGCAAACTAAACTGRAAGTAAAATTGTTGCAGTTTTGTGGATCATTAAGTTTGAAAAGAGTTTTTTCTCTCCGGTCACTGTTTTCTTCCTCTTCTTCCTGCTCTCAAACAGCAGCTGCAGCCTGATTGGCTTCATTCTCTCCACCCAAACATGTGATCTGTGAGTCATTGGCTCAGAGCAGTTTCTGTTTTCAGKAAGTGAAACTGACAGCCACTGTTCGTGAGAGGAGACATGGAGCAACAAGGAGTTCAGCTGGATCGAGAAGCTTTCTCCTGTTCCATCTGTTTGGATCTGCTGAAGGATCCTGTGACCACTTCCTGTGGCCACAGCTACTGTATGAAGTGTGTTCAAAACTTCTGGGATGAAGAGGATCAGAGAGGAATCCACAGCTGCCCTCAGTGCAGAGAGACATTCATACCGAGGCCTGCCCTGAAGAAAAACACCATGTTAGCAGCTTTAGTGGAGCAGCTGAAGAAGACTGGACTCCAAGCTGCTCCTGCTGATCTCTGCTATGCTGGACCTGAAGATGTGTCCTGTGATGTCTGCTCTGGAAGAAAACTCAAAGCCATCAAGTCCTGTTTAGTCTGTCTGGCCTCTTACTGTGAGAAACACCTTCAGCCTCATTATGATTCAGCTCCACTTCAGAAACACAAGCTGGTGGATCCCTCCAAGAAGCTCCAGGAGAACATCTGCTCTGCTCATGATGAGGTGATGAAGATGTTCTGTCGTACTGATCAGAAGTGTATCTGTTATCTCTGCTCTGTGGACGAACATAAAGGCCACGACACAGTCTCAGCTGCAGCAGAAAGAGATGAGAGGCAGAGAGAGCTCCAGGTGAGACGAGAAACAATCCAGCAGGAGATCCAGGACAGAGAGAAAGATGTGAAGCTGCTTCAGCAGGAGGTGGAGGCCATCAATCACTCTGCTGATCAAACAGTGGAGGACAGTGAGGAGATCTTCACTCAGCTGATCCGTCTCATCCAGAAAAGAAGCTCTGATGTGAAGCAGCAGATCAGATCCCAGCAGGAAACTGAAGTGRGTCGAGTCAAAGAGCTTCAGGAGAAGCTGGAGCAGGAGATGACTGAGCTGAAGAGGAAAGATGCTGAGCTGAAGCAGCTCTCACTCACAGAGGATCACAACCAGTTTCTCCACAACTSCCCCTCAGTGTCAGCACTCAGTGAGTCTCCACACTCATCCAGCATCAAGATCCGTCCACTCACATACTTTGAGGATGTGACAGCAGCTGTGGAGGAGCTCAGAGACRAACTACAGGACGTCCTGAGAGACGCGTGGACAAACATCTCACTGACTGTCTCTGAGGTGGACGTCTTACTGTCAGAACCAGGACCAGGACCAAAACCAGGACAAGAACCAAAGAGCAGAGCTGGATTCTTAAAATATGCCCGTGAAATCACACTGGATCCAAACACAGCACACACATACCTGAAACTGTCAGAGGGAGGCAGAAAAATAACAATGAGTGAWCATCAGCCTTATCCCAAACATCCAGACAGATTCACTGGATGGTGGTCTCAGGTTCTGAGCAGAGAGAGTCTGACTGGTCGTTGTTACTGGGAGGTGGAGATGAAAGGAAAACTTATTACTGTAGCAGTCGCCTACAAGAATATCAGCAGAGATGGGAGTGGGAATGAAAGTAGATTTGGACTCGATTACAAATCCTGGGCAATACAACCTAACCAAAACAGGTTTACATTTACTCACAACGACATCAATACCTCCATCTCAGGTCCTGGTTCCTCCAGGATCGGGGTGTACCTGGACCAAAGAGCAGGTGTTCTGTCCTTCTACAGCGTCGCTGAAACCATGACCCTCCTCCACAGAGTCCAGACCACCTTCACTCAGCCGCTCCACGCTGGAGCTTGTGTTTACTACAAAGGAGACTCTGCAGAGTTCTGTAAACTCAGATAGAGYTTATCATTAACACTGACAAGACTTTTTAACGTGATGTTTCTAAAGTTCTTGTTTATTTTTGTTTTGTTTTGTTTTGAACTTCACCAGTGATTGTGTGGCTAAAAATGTTTCCTCTAGTAATATTGTGTTATTTTGACAAAAATTTCCAACAAATTTTCTGTTTTAATTTTTCATTAATATTTGTATCAGTGTGCTGCTGTTTCTCATCCTGTTTTAAAGATGATTTTTTTGTTGTTAAACTTTAAAGGCACAGTTTGTAGGATTTGTTGTTTTCAGCGACATCTAGTGGTTGAGTGGTTGAATCATCCTCCCTGGTCC